AAAGTCAGGAGAGACTAAGGCATAAGCCCCAGACGGATGCAAGCATACCTGTTCATAGGTAAAGCATCTCACGTTACTGTAGGTAAGGGAGCTCCGGTTGACTTCCTGCACCTGTTTTCATTCGGAAGTCAAAAGGGAGGGAGGAAGAAACAATAAAATGAGGAGGAATACATCACCTGTAAATCGAGAGGAGGGGGCAGCGTGGGAATGCCAGATGCCAAGAGAAAAAAAACCCAGATCTATCGTTGTGCCGATAAGATAGCAAACAGTGGCCTTATATTTCTTTACGTCAACTTGATTTAATCTATGCCGCTCACCTAAGAACGGATTTTTTTTCCCCCCACGCTTCGTTTTAGCTTTCCGTTACAATATTTGTTTACTGCCTCGGTGAGAATTTCCTGGCAGGAAAAGAGGAAAGGTCGACCACTTTTTTTGAAGTTGCAATTCGCCTGTTCCTCGCTCCTCTTTCTCTTTTTAAAAAAGACTTCTTGAACGGACAAATACTCAAACGATACCTAAAGGAGAGAATGCCTGCATCTCAGGGTTGAGCTGTGGGGTCCTTGGCGCTCTCTGTTCTTGTTTGCTTTTTTTTTACGGGTGTTTTATTACCACGCTAGGTAACATCATCAGTGATTCAAGGGGTTTGCTGTCGGATGATAACACAAGTGGCCTGCCCTGTCCGCGTTGGTGGCAGTTTTGTTTTCTTCTTGGTGATTCCTTGAGGAGGTTTTACCCTTAACTTTTTCGTTTGAGTTGATAGTTATTTTTTTCAGAGAAGAGAAGTTGATAGTTATTTTTTTTTCAGAGAAGAGAAGGGCATAGAATAGCATAGAACAGAATATAGAAGAGAGGACAGAAGAGAAAAGAGAGAATAGAATAGAATTAGAATTAGAATAGAATATGAATCAGGAATAGACTAGAATATGAATATGAATTGGGAAGGGAAGAGGAGAGGAGAGGAGAGGAGAGGAGAAGAGAAGAGAAGAGAAGAGAAGAGAATTACAAGAGAAGAGAAGAGAAGAGAATAGAATTACAAGAGAAGAGAAGAGAAGAGAAGAGAAGAGAAGAGAACAAAGCAGACCAGTTGGAAGGGTCCTTGGAGGTCATCTCATCTAACCCCCTGCTTAGACAGGAAACCGTATAGGTCTCTGGCCCAAGCAAGGGGTTGGACTAGAAGACCTCCAAGGTCCCTCACAATTTTGTTATTCTGTTCTTCTGTTAACTAATCCGTGAAACAACTCGCCACCAGAAATTGTGGGTGCTCCACCACTGGAGGTTTTCAAGAGGAGACTGGACATTTGTCTGGAATTCTTTAAGGCCTCTTGCTTGGGCAGCGGGCTGGAGCATCAGATCTGTGTGTCTGATGGCGACTTGAAGTTCTCTTAAGCATCTGAAAAAAAAAAGACAAAATTCCTCCTTATTTCCAGGTTGAATCTCTCCTTGTTCAGTTTCCATCCATTTATTCCTTGTCCGGCCTTTGGGGGGGCTTTGGAAAGTAGCTTTCCCCTTTCTTCCTCTCTGTGACAGCACCCAATCGAGAGCGAATAAATATTTAAGAAGAGTTGACGTCAAAACGTTTTAGCGCTGGCCCACGAAGACATCCGTGTTTCGAGCATTAGAGAACTCGGCCTTTTGCACAGGCTGTTCTCAGTTGGCTCACCTGAACCTGCACATCTGTTGGTTCTCAGCGAGGTGGTTTTTAAACAATGCAGCTCATTACAGTAAAGTGATCGGTTTTTATTTCCAGCTGATGTTTTCTGATTTTGAGAGACGCCAAAAAAAAGCTACAATGCGTACGCAGCTCTCTCTCCTCAGCAGGAATAGGTTTAGGTGATTTGGGCCAATCACTAGGAGACTCTGAGTTCTAGTCCTGCCTTGGGCATGAAAGCTGGCTGGATGACTTCGGGCCAATCACCAACTCGCACTTGAGTTCTAGACCCGCCTTTGGCTTGGAACCCAGCTGGATGACTTTGGACCAGCAGTTCTCTGTCAGTCCAACCCACCTCACAGGGTTGTTGTGTGGAAAATAGCAGAAGGGAGACAGGTTGGATATATTCACCACCTTCAGTTTTTTTAATATAAATAATAAAGTTAGATATAAAGAGCAATAGCACTTGGACTTATATACTGCTTCGCGGTGCTTTTACAGCCCTCTCTAAGTTGTTTTACAGAGTCAGCCTTTTGCCCCCAACAATCCGTGTCCTCATTTGA